AAAACCCCACAGTCACCTCAGTTGTGATGCTCCTCTGCTACAGTGCTGTGGGTATTGTGAACAGAGGAGTCTGAGCCTCTGTGCTAACTATGAAATTTCACCACTATTTCCATAAAAAGGACCCTCAGTTATATTTCTCACTGACTTTCTGTCATTTAAGCAGCAGCTGTGTCACCCATCAGTTACTGCAGCACCACAGCTCTGTCAGCAGGTACTCGCATCACGTCTTACTTTATATCAGAATCACAGTTTTCTTTCTCCTTGTTTCTGTTAATCATTCCATCATTTTTTTCATTCAGTCTCCCCTGCAGTGTTCTTCGGTGTGCTCTTCGGCTGCTGCTCCCGTCGGGGGGACGGGCAGTACTGAAAGGAGGCAGACTGGCAGGCTGTTTGGCCTCCAGCTGAGCGCGATTGTAGTCTGAGGTCAGAGGTCACAGTCCAGGGAGTCCAAGACAGAAACCAGATCACAACAGAAGGCTAATTATCATGCATTGTAGCTGGCCTCCTGCTGGGACTGCATTCGCTTTCACCAGCAGGCCACAGTGAAGCTTCTGGACCTCCTGCATTTAAAACAGGGTGAGACGCATGTGAGCAGAAACATTTGTTATTAAATTATGCACTTACACTCAGTTAAAAATCAAATCTTTGTATTAGAGGAAAGGAGTATACCAAACTATAAATTAAGCCAATTTGCACATTTTATTCTGCTTTTCTCATCAAAAAAATTATAATGCAAGAAAAATATCCAAATATTAACAGAAAAAACTGAAACCAAACTCTTACTCTCACCACCCCTCTGTAAAAATCAATATTTAATATCAATGACTTACATGAAAAATACAGTTAATAAAATGATGAGAAAACAAGTGAGCACTACTGCATATAAACCCGACTAGATAAATACACATATACACTTGTGCTAACAATTCAAGAAACATTTGGTATATTTTATATCCCCCCTCTGTCCTTGTTTCCGGATCCTTGTAGTACTTTGGTAGTAGTATTGTGGTCTTAGGAGCTGATGTGTCAGTGGAAATGAAAACAGCTAAACTGTGACAGCAAAATGTTAAGAATACATATTCTTACCCAAGGTGGCATGCTGTGGCTTTTACAGAAATGCAAGCGGAGATGACCACCTCAATTTTTAGAAGCACTCCTTTAATAAAAGTAGCAATGAAACCACCTTACTACACATGAATCTGTATTATTGGCAAATTGCTCTTAAAGTATCAAGAGTATTCTGCAGAACACATTGTTCCCCATCGGTGTTATACGCTTATAAGGTTGGTCTGAATTTAAATGCTTCATATGCTGTTTGAGCTACAGCAGGGGTCCCCAATCCCAGTCCAAGAGGGCTGGTTTCCTGCAGGTTTTAGATGTGTCCTTATGCACCACAGCTGATTTAAATGGATAAATACCTTCTCAACACGTCTTGAAGTTCTCCAGAGGCCTGGTAACGAACTAATCATGTGATTCAGGTGTGTTGACCCAGGGTGAGATCTAGAGCGATACGCGTTTTCACGTCAAAAAGTCGTCATAAACAAGTCTCCGATAATACCAGAAAAAGTCGCCAGATTTGTCGCTAGGGGTCTGAAAACTCGCTAAATATAGCGACAAAGTCGCTACGTTGGCAACACTGCTACCGAGGAGCCTCGCGGAGTGATACGTACTGTGCTTCAACGTAATATTACCGTATTGTGTGTGTATAAGGACCATAAATGGCACCTGTTAAGAGACACGGTTATGAAGCGGATTTCAAACTCCAGGCTGTCAGTCACGAACTTGGAAAGCAGAGCAGCTGTGAAATCTGTCTTTGTTATTATGCTCAGCGTCTTTTAGTTTACATTTTGACTGCACAATTGTGAGCTCTTTTGTTATGCACAAAAACAACATCTGTTTTCTTTTATTTATGGAGCATTATTATTTAATAAATGCTCTATTATTTTCTGGAGTGTGGGGCCTTCCTGCTGCTGCGGAGTCGGGGCGGTCTGCCTCCCCCCACCGCAGGGAAAAGGGTAACACCACCTGGGTCTGGGTGCAGTTCCCCCTCCAGGGGCAAGGGTACCTAGACCCGGTTTGTAGAGTACGCTTGGGGAGTGTGATCGTGTGTACAGCGTCTCTTTATGTCTGTCTCCACGTTGGTTGAGTGTGGAGTAAGTGCATATGAGAGCATGAGGGTGGGAATGGATGTTTGTGTCTGTGTGTGCCTGTATGTCTGTGTCTATATGTCAGGTTGGGTGTCAGGCGCCACCTCTCTGGGGACATCTCAGGCCCTCCAAGGTTTGGAGGCCTATCTCCCCCTACCACCACTTCCCCTGCCAGTGGCGGACTCCCTCAGATATCGGTGCGTTGGTGGTTCTTTGTGTCGGGGATGGGCGTCCAGGTACACACCGGCTCACTCCTTGGCGGCCGCTTATCGGGGCCTGGAGCCTGGGGCTCGCTCGGGCCACTTCGGAGGTGGGGTGCCCCCGGCCTCTCGGCCTGGGGCTCGGTCACTCAGGCACGGCTGGCTGCCGGCGGAGCTCACGGGCGCGATCACTGCAACTCCCCCTGGCTTCTGCTCCGCGGCTGCTGAGTGAGCCCTCATCTGGGACTCTCCTCAGCTCTTTCTGGGACAGTGGCGCGGCTGCCCCTCTGTTGGTCTTCCTTGGTCTCTTGTGTTCTGGGGGCCTCTGGATGTCTGGAGTTTTGATCTCCTCCATACCTGCTTCATGCCCTGGAGGACGGGGCTGTGGCCCCCCCACACCCTCTAGCAGATCATTACATGAAGGAACCTTTTAAAAAAAAAACAACGTCCATGCTCACAGGTGTACACACGGGTGATCACACCCACAAACTACACCCTTTTTGGCTCCTACCTCAAAGCACACTGTGTTCTGTTGATCTTATGTGCTGCACAATAATGTTTAATATTTAGTATTTACTGTCATATTCCCATATATCATTGTGATGTTGTTTATTCTATTACTCTTGTTCTCTTCTGCTTGTTTTCTTTTTTCTTTCTCAGCAGGTGATCCAGGTGATTGATATATGCATTTTTTTTCTCTTGCTCCGTTCTGTTGGTTTTTGTCTTTTGCCCTTCTCCCCCGTCCCTCTTCTCAGCTGTTTCTCTTTCCCTCTTTCTTTCTCCCCTTCTTTCCCTCCAGTCAAGTCTGTCCCGTATTCAGAAGTGAAAATAAAATAAACAATAAAAGGTGAATCAAATGGACCATTATGGCAAGGCTGGGATGGTCAATTTGGTAAAGTAAATCCGTTGGGCATCTTTCTTTGCCTTTAGACAACAATTCTGATGCAAAAGAGCCAAACGGGACAGGAAAAAAAATAAAAAAAATAAATGCTCATAATTTATTTTTGAGTAGTTTTTTTCATGTACATCTATGCTGTATGTTAATACAAGTGCACATGTGACATCTGGGACACAGCTTTGACTAAGAACTCTCTTTTTGTTCTTACCTTATGGCTTTAAAAAAAAATATCGAGATACGAATTTTGGGTCATATCGCCCAGCCCTAGTACTAGCACCTCAAATAGTACCATATAGTACTGCTCCTATTCGTTGTTTTGGCTATAACTGATAATATTAAAAGGAGCGGGGCGCCACATTGACATCATAAACCGCACAGCTTTTGACTTTAGTTTACACATTTATCATTTTAAATTTTTTACATTGATGTACTTTTTTAACAATATAAAAATATTATATATACCACACATAAACTGACACCACTGATGGGCTATGCTATAGGCATGCTTCAAAGCGACTAAATACTGTCACGTCACAGGACGCACATCATTACAAAGCACTCTAAAACCCTTAAATAGGGGTGCTGCTACCAGGCACTATCATTCAGTTGAGTCCATGCATCGGAACCAGACACACGAGGTAAGAGAAAACATTAAAATGTATTCAGATGACATTAACACAGCCACTGTGTTTCCCTTCTTAGATGGCTTTTTTTGATCAACTAAACATGTCGCGGGTGCGATCCATGCTGGTTGGTCGCCCAGATGACTGCACTGTCCAGCTAATGTGTACTGTCACATGTCAATATAATAAGATGATATAAAAACGAATTATAGGATTAAGGATTTATATTTACGTGCTAGTGGCTAGCCATTTGCACATGCCTTTGCATGTAGCACACTGGCATATGCAGAAATATGACAAAACAAAGTTATGAGCTGTATGTTATACTCAATGTAACATACAGCTCATAACTTTGTGCTGCAGGCCAGACAACTTTGGTTGTCTGGCCTGCAGCACATTTCTGCTTTTATGGAACTTTTGACAAACAGCAAATTGTAACAGAGTGTGTCTTCACTAAACACTCAGTGGATAAATATGAAGCCTTCCTGCACACAATAGTAGATACTCTTTGCATGCAGGTGAAGGAGCTGGAGCTGGACTGGTCTGAACAAAAGCGGCACGCTGAGACAGTGAAGACGCTGCGGAAGAACGAGCGTCGGCTGAAGGAACTGCTGTTCCAGTCGGAGGAGGACCAGAAGAACCAGCAGAGGATGCAGGAGCTGGTGGAGAGGCTGCAAAACAAGATGAAGGCCTACAAGAGACAAGTAGAGGAGGCCGTACGTCACCTCATCCTCTTACTCTGAACACGTTTCCAAGCATGGTGTTTGTGGGCTTTAACTCACACTGCTGTCACTTCAGGAGGAACAAGCTAACATGAACCTGGCAAAGTACAGGAAGACCGTGCACGAGCTGGATGATGCCGAAGAGAGGGCGGACATTGCTGAATCAGCGCTCACCAAGATTAGGACCAAGAACAGAGGAAGCTTCGGCAAGGGATACTCCTCCGTAAGTATTCTCTGGAACAGTATATTATCAGGTGTATTACGCGGTTTATTAAATAATAACTCCATGTTAGCCTCTTCTACTAAGTACTTGTTCTGACTCTAAGGCCTGTGTCTGTTCTAACAGGGTTACAGCACTCCGTACCCAGGCCGAGTCCGGTCACCCAGTTCAGTGGGCTCGGAAGGCGGAGGAGATCCTCAACGATGACGAGGAGTCAGTCAGCTCCCTCATCCCAGCCTATCTCAACTCCCTCAAGAAGCTCATGATTGATTAGGAGCATGGCTTCAATTTCACCATCATCCCCCAGAAGTGAAGCATGGTACAGTATGAAGTTTGAAACATCCAAAAGGTTCCATGGGTGGAACCTGACTTTTTTTTGTGTATGCTGTACATTCCTGTTGCGTTTTCTACAATGTACTTGTGGCTTCCTCTCTGAGTGAAAGCTCATAGCCCTGACACATTCCAGCTTTATATCCCCTTTTTATCCATTTATACTGTAACATTTGTATGTAAAAACTAATAAATGTATTTCTAAGTGTTCCAGATTTCCAAATATCTAAAGAACAATCCTCAGGCTGATTCTCAGTCTGGAACACACCATTTTATATGAGATATTGTATTTGTTTAATACATAAAAAGCCAGACAAGACAAAGCATCAATAGTTACAAAATAAAGCTGGCACCCAGAAACTGCAGTTCCTCTAATGGCCACACGAGGCTGTTCAAAAAGCAAGTCAATCCACTACAGACTTCCAAATCAAAATGTGCAACTTTACTGTACTGACATATATACAGGGTGGCTGAGGCTATTCCAGACATTTGTGCTTTAGCAGATATCCTTCTCTTTCTGTAAACATGCAGAGTTTATGGATGCAGCTTGCTAATCAAGCCTGCTAGCATTAGTATTTACACTTCCTGATTTCTTAGATTTTCAAATATTTGTCACACACTCATGTTTCAGATCAAACACACGTGGACAAAAGTAACTGAAGTAAACAGAAAATACAGTTTTTACATGATGATTTCATTTATTAAGGAAAAAAGTAAACAAAAGCACCGGGGGCTATGTGAAAAAGTAACTGCCCCTCAAACATAGTAACTGGTTTGAGGGGCAGTTACTTGGGATGGAGCGTTTTTCATACATTTCCAGGAAGGATGTTGTTCCTCTTAGTAAATAAGCTCAATATTTAAAATCTGCATTTTGTATTTATTCCGGCTCTCTTTTTCCGATGTGATCATCAGGAAACTACTGTTTGTAGTCAAGATTTCCTACATTTAAGCAAATGCATGACAACCTTTAAGATAAATAAGGTTCAAACTGGCTGCAGTATTTATTAAACCATACATGCGAGAGGCTACAGGGAAGTTTTTGAGTCCGTACATAAGTGGTGACTTAAATACAAAACACTTTTTTTCATGATTAACTTTTGCCTTATAAATGACTTCAGTCACTATCATAAAGTGCTGCTGGGGTGCTGTCAGCACATGGAGTAGTTTAGGCCATTAATGTCAGTGTATTTTCAGATTTCAAATGTATCTGTCTGAACTTTTCACTGACTAAACCTGTAACAAGACCTGACCAAATATGCTGTTGAATGTGAATATGTTTTTTTAAGGAAATAAAAGACCTTTTCTTCCCATTAACTCTGTTTTCTTGCTTTTTTTTTCTTCATTTTTTGGAAACAAACAAACCACAAAGCAACGCATTGAGACATGAAATACGTATTTCCATTTTATTTATGAAAAATGACAACTTTTAGCTGTTAATGTACAAAAACATCTCATTTGTCTCTTTTTAGTAGTCAAGCAGTACTAAGCAGTAATACTGGAAAAGAACATTTGGTATGGCATTTAGCTTCTGCAGTACAGTCACCAAATCCAACTGACGCAAATGATACATATTCCAAAACTATCACCACCGAAGCACTTCAACCTTACAGTACCATCTAAATGCAAAACATGTTGCAGCAGCACAGAGACTTTGAAGCTCAAGGGAGAGCCTTTTTAGATACCTGCAGATAAGAGAATATATCAGGAAATACGTACAGGGCTTTGAGAGTCTCAGCATTTCCGGTTTCGACAAGTGTCTCCATCTCCAACTCCATCACATCTGATCTTAAGTTCAATTCACAAACCAGAAACAAATCATATAAATAATATATATGTAGTGGCACACGTGGGTATCTGAAGTCATTTCCGGTGCTGTGCTTAAAAAAACGTGAGCTCCACCGTGAGAAAAACGCGTTATTTTCATCTGCATTTCAAAGAGCTGAACAGCTGCGCTGAATGACAGAAATGACAAAGTATTTTAAAAATCCACACGGCTGAAAACTTTCACGTATAGCTCGCTTTAACGTGACCACTCTGCTAGCCGAGTGAAGCTACACGCACATTTACGTTCCCGTCGCTTACCCGCCATCACGGACAGCCTGGTGACAGCACAAACTATAACGGAAGGGTTTTAAAAGTATTCCGTGTCGGTGACAGCAGTGGACGTGCAGGCTCCACGTGATCTCTCCCCGCGTTTCACATCCACGCGGCTAGCGCCGGTGCGTTTGTGTGACGCTGTTGCTAGGCATTCTTTTTAGAAGTGGGCGGGGCTTATAGGCATACTTCAAAGCAACTAAATACCGTACTGTCACGTCACAGTACGCACGTCATTACAAAGACCTCGAGAACCCATAAATAGGGGTGCTGCTACAGGTACTGTCATTCAGTTGAGTCCATGCATCGGAACCAGACACACGAAGAAAGAGACACCAACACAATGTTCGAACAAACGCGCATGACTCGAGATGGCTTTTATAATCATGTCGCAGTGGATCATGCTTTGTCCCAGTACGCATCGCTAGTCCATGCTGTGAGGTCAGCCCCCGGGTCTCGACAAGCCATAAAACGATCAGGCTAGGTCACTGCAGTGCACCCAGTAGGCAGCCAGCAGGACAATCAGCAGGTCCCACAGACAGAACAACCAGAGAAAAATCTGGAGTCCTCGCTGTCTGTGGAACCTTCACAAATGGCAAACACAGAAGCCTCAGAGGCTGAAAAAGCAGCCGTGGCTTCTGAGGAGCAGAAACCCTCTGCGTCACCTCGAGGTGAAGCAGAGAGAAAAGGGCTCATAAGCGTGGTCCTTCAGGCTGTCCTTTCCCAGGCTGCAAAAAAATCCACAGCCTGCCCATCAGACTCCCTCCACCAGCGCCTTTTAGATCAAATCTGCTCTGAAATAAAAACAGCAGATTTGACTTTATCACCAAAGGCCCTACAAGATCTTGCAAAGGTCATTTTCAAAGACTTTTGCAAGGAAGCTGCTCTCCAACCCAAAACACACCTTAACTCTATTGGAAGTAGGAGAGCCAACAGTTGACAAACTTTTCACCTCCATCTTCAAGAAACAGTTTGTAGCGTCCACACAGAAACTTGAGCCAGAGTCTGAAATCAAAGCTCAGAAGCAGCTTTCAGTTGAAGTCTGTGTGGAAGAACTTGTCAGGCGTGCTTTCAAAAAGGCACGCGTTCTGTATACAGATGACACAGTTTCTGAAATTACAAACCGTTTGTTGAAGAAAATCTGGGCTGATGTCCAACATATCGATTTTCAGCCCTCCTCAAGTTTCAGATAAAAGTATTTACAATCTCTCCTTAAGGTTAGCCCGGTGTTGTCACGTTCTCTTTAATCTCGCCATTGAATAAAGTGAGCAAAGAATCTATCGAACCCTTTAAGAAATCTTGTCGGAGCGCGCGCCAGCAGGTCGCATTCAGAAAGGTTCTTCTATAATAGGTCGGAGGTTACCATCACCCGCCAGGATCGCCGCGTGTTTCCCCTGTAAAAAAACAACAATTTACATTGACTAGTGCTCAAATGACATCTTATTTGGCTACACAAACAATGTCAAAAAGCCATTTATTTAACATCCAATCGAGTCATTTTAAACACCCTGGCCGTTGCGCGATGAGTCCTCATGAGCCTGGTTCTCTCGGAATTTTCCCGTTAAAAGGGAGGTTTTTCTCCCCACTTGCTAAGTGCTCTCAAGGGATCTGTCGATTATTGGGCTCTTGTTCTAGTCAGTAAATTATGACTTGAACACTCTAAATTATTGAACAAAAATCAGAAAATTATAAATTCTAAAAGAAAATCACACTTGATTTTGCTTGTTTTCACTTCTGTGTGGAATTGTGTGTGTGTGTGGTGTGTGTGTGTGTGTTGTTGTGTTGGTGTGTGTGTGTGTGTGTTGTGTGTATACGCTTGACTAGACCTGTGTTAGTAGTTGTATCAATCCAAATGTTTAGGGTAGAAATGCGAGACATCACTTTGTGATAATTATTAGTGAGATTTCATCCACTACAATGTCGTACATTTATCAAGAAAACATAATAAGTAGGTGCGCACAAGTGGACAAACCGTAACGAATACATGAGATACACTTCCGTTGTCAGCCAAACATTGACAAAATAATAGAAATAACTTCTTTATAAAATGATTGAATGGTTTTACAAACAAAAATCTAAGTTTTAAGCTCAGGCCAGTCTGTGGACAAGAATCCCCGAAAAGAGAAACATCACACACAGTCTGAAAGGTGAGCCGAGCAGACCAATTCTGTTCCTCAAGTTTGGAGAAGCATCAAGAACGACACAGCGTTCACTCTGCTCAGCTTAAAACATAAAATTTATTCGTGATGACTTAACCAGCCACTTGGGTCCCTCTCGTAGATGGCTTTTTTGATCACTAAACTAGTCGCAGGTGCGTCCATGCTGGTGGTCCAGATGATGCACTGTGCTAATGTGTTCATGGCTGCTCATGTTGAGCTGCGGATCTGCACACAGTACTGCTGAAAACTGTTCCCAAAGAGCGCATGATCACCCTCTCAGGACTGGAGGGCGCATCGCTCGTATTGTTCTCTCTCACTCCGGAATTCAGATCACCGAGCAGAGAAGGTTCATAAAAGAACGATCCAGGTGTTCTTGGGATCTCCAGTATGATTATTTCAAAATGTGCTAAATGATAAAATGAAGGTGTTGCAAAACAGCTGGGTTAAACTTCTTCAGCTAAAAACCTTTGCTAAGTAGCGTGAGATTTTTTTTGTAAATGTTTTTTATATTTATTAATTAATTATTTATTGATGTATTCATACTGTATGATTAATTTAGTAGATTCAGTGGTTCTAACATAGTAAAGTACCTCGGCTGTGGGTGGTCGAACACCGTTGTTGGACATGGTATGTCAACAGAGCACTGTATAAAAAGCCCAAAGCCGACTTACTTCCTCAGAGCTGGAGGTCTTTTAAATCTGCAGGAAGCTCCTGTAGGATGTTTTCGTCGTGTTGTGGATATTTTCTATTTGGTGTGCTGGGGCAGCCAGCAGCTATCAGGGGAATATCGGAGGGCTCTGTGTCCGCATGACTGACCACTCCTGTTGCAGTGGAGAAGGCTAAAAGAAATGTGATTATGCATGTGCATTCGCCAGTTCTAAAACGAAGGTCTGTTCTAGTGCCTTCTCCCATATTATATATTACTATGTAATCTTATTTGTCCCATGCCGTGTGCTTTTGAACCGATCCCGGACAGATTAATTGTTCTATTATATTTACATATTTGACGCCTTCTCTCCCGCGTGTATCGCATTTGTGCTAAGTGTCCAAGGGGTGGGAAAAAGTTTCGTTTTATACGGGTTGTGGTGGATTGCTGATACCTCGGGGTATAACCCCCGTGTTTTTACCATAACCTACTTTCTACGATCTACTTGTAGATTGTGTTTCCAAAGCTCATTAAAAAACGTAATTGATTGAATGTTTTTTCCTATTTCTTTACAGTAAACAGACTGTTGTGTCCAAGTAAACTGCCGATTATTCCTAGGTGTAATTTACCTTGAGATGAGTGTTTGGATTTGATTATTTAATTATTCTATTCGTCATATCTGTCTTTCTCTTGTTAGTCGGCATATGTCCTTTATCTGTAATACTTAATAGGTTTGGTTATCGGTAAGTCTGTGCTTTTTTTACATAGTGTTAAATTACATTTTGG